CTATGCCTTAAAATATTTCAGATTACTGTGCTTCTGTATTTATCTTTCCCTTAATATTGAATCCAAGTTTTGACAAGGGCAAAAAGCTTCATGAAAATATCAACTAAAAATATTCCACTGTTTAAAAACTTCACTTATTAAACCTGATCAACATAAAAAAATACTTTAGAAGTTACTTTCCATGAGTCGTGCCTAAACTATTATAAAAACTGAAGTCCTCACAAACTTTGAACATAAGAAATAGGGTAACTAAGTTGGTACGGCTCCTATTAGTTTTCATAACGATGCATGGAAAACAACTAGAAATTACTGCATTCTATATACTGTTTTATTTGTTTGTTTGTTTTTAAAGTGTCCAGTCATGTACCAACCAAATGCATTCTGTCAGGACAGCTGCCAACCCCTATGGGACAGTGTGTTCTCGGACATCATTACATACCACCCTCACCTCCCTGCAAAGGTATGGAAATGTTCAATTTGACAACAGCATGCATTTCTCAAGACACTGTTAAAATTCTCCACGTTGTTTTCAGTATCAATCTTTTTGCTGGAAAAAAACAAGAACACCCTTTTTAGTAGCATCAGGAATGTTATTATGACATAATATACCAATGGAAACCTTAAAAAGAATCTGCTCTTCACAGGCTTTACATCTATTTTGGAGGCAAATTTTTGAGAACAGAGCATTCAATGTTTTTGATTTAAAAACTGTTCTCTAGACTGGAACACAAGGGCAGGCATAGGAAAGTGCCTCTCCCTTCTAGCATCGTGGAAGTCATCAATGCATTAGATAAGTTGCAAGTGCAAAAAACCCCATAATGTACCCTGGGAAGGAGCACTTGGGAAAAAACAGACATTTTGGATGAAGGCTATGAACATTTAAGTAAGGATCCTCTGCATCTGTGCAAGTTAGAAAAAATCCTTTTATTACAGGATTAAGTTTTTGGATAGGTACCCAAAACCATCTCACTTCTCCAGAAGCATTAGAAATCGAACAAGAAACACGTTAATCATTTACTTAATTTGTGTGACGGTCCATCAAAATTGCTTCATTTCTAATTACTTCTGTATACTTGAAAAATAGTTCTGGTAATATTTTTCTTCCCAATGGAAGACCTGTGAATGTGTCCACGTCCTGCTACAGGGCACTTTTCATTATTTTCACAATGTATTCTGTAAGAGGGAACACTTCTTACCCCCCACTTCCTACAATAAGTCCATCATCTTATTGTACCAAAGTCTCTGATGTTTGTGTTGTGGAGTCAAAAAACAAAAGAATAAAAGAACAAAAGCCTGTCACAACTTCATAAAAAGCTGATTCCCTCTTACAAGGTATGGTGGGAACAGAGACACACCACCACAATTTCCTGGGAAGCTAGGCAACAAGTTATAAAACCAGAAGGAACATATATCCAGGATCTTTGACTAAATGCAGAAGAAAATGAATTAAAGTTTATTAAGAAATCTGAGCAGAAAGAGGCGATTAAGACCCAAAAAGCCAACTTTAACTGAGTTTTATGCAAGAAAAAAAAAAAAAAAAAAAAAAAAAAAAAAAAGAACACTTTTGGCTATCTAAGCAAGATTAATGATCTGAAAAAATATACACATACATGCCTAAACTGAAAAGAATGAAATATTTGGAATGTTTTGACCACTTACAATGCAATCCCTCTAAACTTTATGGTGAATCAAATTATTAAAAGGTAATGACATAATGACATTACTGTATCATCAACTATCTTTGTGAAACAAAAAAAATGACCAGGGAAATGTCTGCAATAATTATTTTTACTTTTATAAGTACAATCGTACTTTTCTAAGTACAATTTCTATTATCATTAAAATATTATTTAAAAAAGCAAAGAAGAGCATTCCAAAGAACTAACAGAACTAAGTCAGCACGAGAGAAGACAGAAGACATATTCCAAAACAATTTATACATTTTTTAAGAAGCAGGATTACAAAAATTCAAGTCAACAAAAGGGAAAAAAGAAAGTATGTAACATCATACCCTATGAATTAAATTGATTTGTGTATCTGAAGACTAATCAAGGAAGTATGAAACCAAGAGGAAACTTTCACTGGTTGCCCATTAAAAAAGTAATTCAAGTAATATCCATAAACCTATCCATAAAACTGCTTTACCTTAAGCTTATTTTTGTCCTATATATCACCTAGTCTAATTTCAATATATGAACTAAAAAAAATAATCACAAGTTTTTACTGAAGATTAGAGACTAACAGAAAAAAATTCAAGAACATTAGACTAAAATTTTAGAAGTTAAGAGAACTAAAACACACTTTATTTTACTTGGGATGGCCCAAACATGGTTATCAAAATTAAATGGAAGAAATCAGAAACTATGAAGGTACTTTTAGTTCTAAATTTGTAAAGAAAAAATTTAAAAACTTAGATAGTGAACTGTATCTAAAATAAAGGTAATATTCCTTCTCAGGGTTCTTACAGGTTCTATGTTGTTCCCCAAATCTTTCCTGACAAATTGATACAGATTCACAATAGGGCACAAAATGTTTTATGCAGCTGGACAGATCAATTCATATGAGAATTAAGGTTTGAACATGCACTGTTAGAAGTGTGAAGTAAACATGGGAACAGGTTAAAAGAAACCAGCTGAAAATCTAGATGCACACCAATCTTACAAGTGAAGTCTATAGAATAATTTATCCTTCACACATCACCCAAAGCAACCAACTACCTTTGATTGCTATTTTAAAATGCTTTCTAAAAATACAGAATGTTACAGCAAAAAAGAATGGCAGAAAATTGAAAGAAAAACAAATTGTTTCACTAGCAGTGAAACTAATGAAGTTTGGTTTCCTATGGTTTATCTTTTGTTCAGTAATTCCTAACCTTTAACCTGGCTGCCCCAACTCCCCCGTGCGAAAAGGAAGCTAAATTGTTGTATTAGGAGAAAGTTCACCAGCAGCAAGATTGGGTAAATTATTCTTGTTATGATCTTCCTTAAGTAAGCTTTGAGATCTAGGAAGCTCAAAGACAGTGCTAGGAGTCCCACTTTAGGTCCCACTAGACCAAACTTGACAGAAATTAACAGTTACATAGCAGGGAACAACCCTCTGCCCACAAAGATGGACTTGACTTCAAGGGCAATGTCTGATTTATGACTTTCTTTTGTGTCTGAAGACTCTCCCCAGCTAGATGTTTGGAGGAAGGGTTCACTATTGCCTTGGTTGCATAAACTGCTGAGCACCTCTGGCCCCAATCCAACAGTGCACTTAAGTATGCGCTTAACTGTTTTGCTGGATCAGAGCCAGTACATGCAGTAACTTAGGAGACTGAGTTCTGCATCCCAAGTAATAAGCTGTTAAAGCCCAAGGACAGCATTTACGAAGATGATATGTCTGATAAATAAATGAAAGGTCCTCTGACCACAGGAGATTACAACCCCAGCCATAGCAACATCAGTGGTGGCACCGTAATACATACCTTTTTATACTCTCTTCGGAGATGGTGCAACAAGGGTTATTGATTTGGGCTTTCTGTTTCGGTTTGTGTGTTTGTTTTTTTCCTTATTGCCCTGTTACAACACACACTCCTTCTAAAAGGATGAGACAGCCTTAGGAAAACAAACTTAGCACAAAACTTTTACTCCTACCGTATTTCATTCTTAAGACTGCTTTGTCCGCATAACTAAGTCTCTGGAGAAGCCAAGACTATTCCCAAACTTTTTAAGTTCACTGCCAAAATGAAGAACTACAAATATTATCAGGTTTTGGAATCTTAAACCTCTGATTAAAGTTTTATAGCTTGACTTGTACACTGAATTGCTATTACATGACCATTCACAAGAAAAGAACCTACATCTAGAGAAGATTAGAAAATAGAGTAGTTTATTCCACAGCAGAAAATTCTCATTGGCTATTTAGGAAACAGTGGCTACAAACCAAGTATTTCACATTTCAAGTGTCACCTAAGCACTTCAGTGCTCCTCAATGACAATTCCAATGCTCCAGTTCTCCCACATAAGCAAAGCTGCCCCATTTGCCAGTATTTCCCATACAGAGATCTCCCCCCATAATAGATCACAGCGGCTTCATGGAATTAAAATGATCCACATTCAGTTTATGGAAGAAAAGCATTAAACCCAAAAAGCAGAGCATCACATAGGAAATTTAAGTCTTGCCTAAGAAAAAGAATGCAAAATAAAGTGAATAAAGTAATCTTCTGGTCTCTTCTAATTATTTACTGCTGTAGCCTTAAGTATCTAAATTTTCAAGCACCTGCATTTTGCACAAAAAGTTTCAAACTCTCTACAGAAAGGGCATTCTAAACAAAGTATGTTTGGCTAGAAGTCCTTAAAAAAACCAAAACACCCCACTATGCTAAAACACTGAAACAAAGTTTTCAAACAAACAGGTCTTGGAAGAAAATTATTTGTAATTTCAGCCACGAGGAAGGTTTTTCATGTGTTTATAGATTACAAAGAAAAAACAACTATAACCACATTAATATAACCTTACCTTGGATACTTCTTCTTTTCCACTGTTTTCCTTAATGAATACTTTTTCCAGTTCGGGGCTTATACCTTCTACATTACACGGCACACGTGAAACGGTTGATTTTGGCACTGAAATGTTTGACAGTGGCATAGGGACTGATCTGGAAATAGAAGCCTAAAAGGTAAAGAGCAACACGATTTGAAGTTAGAAAATGGAATAAAGGCAGAAGTCTGAGACCAGTACTAAAAAACCTGAAAACTAAGAAGCTGTGTACTAATTCTGCCATCTAAAAGATCATCTTTACTTGGCAAATTTTCAGAAAAACCTGTTGGAGTGGAGCTCTGTTACCAACAGGAACCATTCACATGAGTGCACTTGCATCTTGTGCAGTCAGCCTCAAAAGCTTTATCTTGGCAGCAGCCACACAGCATAGATACACCTACGGTGACAGCCAAAAACAGTGTTCGCTTCCCAATATATGTTCTCTTGATCACAGGATGCTTAAGACAAAATGTAAAAATTTTTTTTTGAGCTCTTGCCAAATGAACCTTGCGCAAGGTGCAGCTGCAAAGGTGCATGTCGCTTATGCGGAGGCTTCTCTGACTGACAAAACACACTGCCTGCAGGACAGCTTCCCACAGCGGTGCCAGAACTGAAAACTTCACCAGCCTCATCAGAGAACACCTTCTTGAGAAATCAAAATGTTGCACAAGCCATGACAAAGTGAACTCCAAGTTCTAGAGAATGTTCCTTCAAAGTATATGTCTTAAGTGGATTTAAGTCTGTGTCAAAGACTGTTTTTACTGCGACTATAAAGAGCGGCGCAGGTATATGCAACAGCTTACTTTGAGATGGAAAAACCAAAACCCTTTTCTATGCAAAATGCAGTGGGATCCTTTATTATAGAGGCACAAAAATTTCAGGATGAATATCAACTTCCTATATGTCTTTATCACAAGATTAAGTTTTAACCACGAGATTTTACCCAAACAGAAGAAGGAACACAAAGGATCAGCCATCATGGCTCAACCTCTTCTTTCTAAACCACTAGCTATTTAAAAAGGCAGTCAGAAAATAACAATGATAGAACCAATATTTCAGGAGTTCTAATAGTGGCCTGTTAGTAACATGGGGTCCAAGTTAAGGATCCACTGTAGATGAAATTTAATCAGGACTCAAATCTGCAGTGTCAAATGAGACCCGATTAACTGCTTTCTACAAGTGTCTTAAGGTTCACAAAGTCATTGACTGAACCTTGTGTGAGCTTTAGAACTCGTAATTGGGTTTTGGTTTCACTGGCAGTTTGTAATGGCTAGAGTGGATGCTGCATGGGGCATCCTCCATTGCACCCTGCTGAGAATTTGGTTCACGGTCAGATAATTTGGCCAGATAATGTGTCCAAAGCTATTCTTCATATGTGTCAGCAACTTTATAATAGAAATACAGATATACGCAGAACACAGGCGAATTATTCTAACTTGTGAAACATGAGGATAACCTGAAAATAAAAATTGTATTAGCCAGGATAGTGTTAAAATGATCAGCTATATTAAAATTTGCCTAAACTCACACATCACTTTGAAAAATAGGTAAGTAGTAAGACAACAGAAAAGAGAAGCTGTCAGACTAGGAGCCTGAGCTTAACCTCTCAGAGAGGGGGATAGCAAATCCATAGACTGATGGCTGCAGAGAAGTCCTGTCATCACAATGCTCATTGGTATAGAACATGAGAAGGGTCATCAACATAATCTGGATATAATATTTTGCATCCTAAAGATTATGTCTGATTGAGGTTTTACAGTAGGACAGTGTCTGAAACAAGAACAGGCTGGTGATGATAGCAATTTTTCCACGTAATATGATGGAAACTCTCAAAATATGCTGTACCAACTCTACTGTAATATATAGCCACTGCAACCACAAACTCCCATGCTAGAAGACAGAATCCCATATTGACAATGAATCTGGACTACTGTAACAACCAAGAGGTGTGTCCTAGACAAAACCATGAAGAAAAAGACTTTTATCCTCTAGTGTGACAGATCCTCTAGTTACCAGTCACCAGGGATGGGGTACGGTGGCACGCATCGTCTTGATTTCAGTTGAGTTCAAATTAAAGGTAAATGATCACTTTCTTTTTAGAAAGTAAACACCACAACATTGTTTTCCTTGATGTCATGTAGAAATTGCCTCTCTGGCTAGGAATTGGCCAATAAGCAATGCATCAGAAAGATTCTTAAACTAGGACAAGGCAATGAGATATTCCCTCAAATCTCTGGTGATACTTTGTCTTTTACTGATGAATACATGGTAAGGTGAACTACAAGTCTGCTTGTAACAAGCCAGACAGTGTTCTGCTTGCTGCTCAAAGACAATTGTGGGGCTGCCAATCCAGACTGCTTACCCCTGGTACTTTCTTTTTCTTTCTTTTCTATGTTTGTTTTTTTTAACCAGCTCAGATGAAATTGATAAGCAAATACTTTCCAGAGGAGCAGAGACTTTTGAAAGCGTACCACAAAAATTAAGTCTTGGAAGCAAGCATGTATTCCTGGAAACACAGTCTTATCTGGCCATGCTCAGAATTTTTACAGCACCTTGATATATTTTAGTTGCTATCCTGCTGCAACCCTTCTTTCTTTTATTATATGATGACTCAGACAAATTACAGTGAAGAAGCAATGGTATCAGGTTGTTAAGCATTTTAGTGTACCACATAAGAAAATAGAAGAAAGACGGGAAAAAACAGCAGGCTATTCACCCAACCCTGGTAAGGTAGGAGGCTGTTAATATAAGCAACTCTCTACTTACCTGAGTCTGACTGATTGCTATATGGTTGCCATGGAGAGGTGACTGACGTTCTTTCTCTTTACTGTGACGACCACTCTGCTTACTGCGCTGAAGCTGCTGCCTCAGTTTGGCAATCTGCTGGAAAGAAGTTCAGGTGAAGCGATAATGAGTTATCGGATGGGTAACTGCTCAAATCTTCACGGGTAAAGCGAATCACAGACATTTTAAGTCCTCTTTGGAGGATTTTACAAGCATACGGGATTGCCTTCCCTTGAAGCATGAGCATTAAAGCTTCTTTCTGCTTATTAGATACTTTCTCCAAAGTATCTGCCCTATTTTCCAACCAGAATATGACAGCAGGCTTGGTTTAATTACTGAACTTCCTCATTTTCAAACAAGTACTGTAATAGCTGATGCAAACAAAAGTAGTCAGAATGGCAATTTGTAGCAATTTCTGGCCTATAACTGGTTTAAAATGGGGACTACGAAGCCTACAGTTTAATTTATTTGATCTTAAACTAAACCAAAGTTTTCCAATGATAATTCATCATAAAAGCAAAGAGCCTTCACAAACAACTGGCAATCAATATGCATTGCTCATCTTGGAGAACTTATTTAATACATTTAATAGCATTTCCCTGCAGGCTAAATTATCACAGATTCCTTCAGGCAGACAGAATTATCTTTTCTGCTGTCTGCTGCAAAGATGTCTAATCAAAAGTTACATATTTGAAAGGTCAAATGCAACTTAAGCCATTGTCCATTTGACCTGCTCCTTAACAAGAAACCAAAGAATTTCATTTGTGGCTTGCTCCGCTTATTGATTCCTCCTGGATAACTTCTACGTGAAAGAGAATATTTACCTCTGTAAGCATTGTCTCAGAAGTTTAGACTATGTGCAAATTCACACAACAGGTACAGACCCTTCCTCAAGACTGGATAGTTTTTTCCTTTGGGCTCAAGTCCCACTCCTCCTCATGCTCAGCACACTGGCATATAAGGCAAAGCATGCACGGCCCCATTTCATTTTTAACTCAGCTAGAGATACGATATTTAAAAACCTGAAGGGCAAGTAAGGAGAAGTGAATGCACACGGAATTCATATTTCAAAGAACTTCATCAGCTGGAAAGTAACCTCTCTTTCTGAGTGACAGCTTACAAGTACACGCACTCTGTGGATAACTCCAAGTAGTTAAATGTATCACTAGTGCTCTTGCAAAGCAGCGCTGTGGCAGAGAATCACTCGTCACAGTGTCAGAGATTAGGGTGCTTGGTGAAGAGGTTTGGACAGAGCTTTGCCCCGGGCTGCGGACTTTTCTTTGTGATGTGTCTGGTATCACTCACGAGGAGGATCCACCTTTAAGGCTTCATATCAAGTCTTGCCACAGCTCGTTACCCATATTCAGAGAAGTGCTACTCGGAAATGGCTGAGTACTTTCATCTTTCAACAACAGACAAACAGTTCAGACTTCCAAAAGGGTCTGTGTATAGAATACAGCAAGACAGAGCCCTAATACAACTGTGTTTCTAACACAGACAAGCTCGATTTAGAGAACTGGGAGGACTAATCTCTCGACAAGAGGCACAACTCAGGCACCATGTTGGAAGAACCTTTGAAGGAGTCTGAAGAGATCCTTCATCTCTACAAAAACAAACAAAAAATATTGTCCAGAACTTCCCCGTTCTCCCTGTAGGAGTAATGGCAATTAGAAAACCTAGATCCACAGAGAGATGAAAAAGCAAGCAGGTAACCAGCCTGGTAAGTATACATGTATCTACTAAGATTTGTGTCTTACATCAGAATGTTGGAGAATGGGAAGAACAGGCAAATAATGGTCACCTTCCCCTTTAAAAATAGAAGATAAAAATGATGCCCAGATAGGAAGACAGCTGTGCTCTGAGATGGCTGGCTACAAGAATAATCAGAAAGCAGGGAGAGTGCTATGTATAAATCTTTCATTTCTGCTGCCTCTCCTCGATGCTGTGTGCTTCCTCCTAGTTAAAAAGTTACTACCCTATTTTTTTTTTATTTAAATGAAATCTGGCTTTCTGAGCTTTCCTTGGGAGCATGCTATAAAAAAAGATCTATACAATTCCACCTCAGAGATCTGGCTGACTGATTTCTGCTGCAAGCAGCTTGCAAATCTTTGAGAACATAACCTCTTGCTGTAAAATTTGGACAGTGAGAGCATAAAATGGGAGAGCACTGATCAGCTGTTATGTCTCCAGGCTGACCAAAACCTTGAAGGTCTGATATCCTGAAAGGAATCATGGACCCCTGGAATCTGAGGTTCTCTTGGCCACCTCAAGAGTACGTATATTTTGGCAGTCAGTAGGTTCTAGACAGTAACAGAAAGAAAAGGCTTCTTGGTTCACTGGGTATAAAGAGAAAGATGAAAACTTATTGAAGAATCTGACTGTGTATCTGGAGCCGATATGATCACTTAAGCCAAACGTGGAATGCAGTGAAGGAATAGATATGCCTTCTCAGATCTGTTCTTAGCCCTGAATTTGAAGCTTTCCATACTGTGGTAGTTACCAGCAGGCAAAAAAAAAAAAAGAGAAAATAAGGATGGACATATAAAAAGGAATCTGCCATTTCTTATTCATCCTCCAGACACAGGAGACAGAGGCTTGCCAGCACAGACAACCCAGCTGAGTACATGGACAGAAGGATCCTCCAAACTAAATGATGCTTCATCTCTTCACCAAAGGCAGTCCACCATGAATCTTCCACCTGTTAAAGCTAATCCTGAAATCCCAATAGCTTTTTTTTCTCCTACAAGATTATCTTTTTATTGTCAATTATTTTCTATGTCAAACTCAAATAAAGCCACTACTACTAACAGGAAGAGTTAGCTGGGCTGGCTTCTTAGAAGTTTATCTTCACCGTTTCCTAAGCAGCAAAGAAGCACAATCAGAGCACCAAACATAACCAAAATGAGCTGCAGATAGGTATGAGTACATTAATCCTAAGAAAGCAGATATAATTTGTGTAGTGAGGGAAGGAGTCTGAAACATATTGATGGCACCTGTTCTACCAAGTACCTCAAAGCAACAGCAGATCCTGTCTCTTGGGCACTTGACTGATGCCACTAATATGAGCTAGGGAATTTGCTGTACAAAGAAAACGGTGCCAAGTAATTGGTAGTAGGAAAACATGCGCTTGAAGATCCAGCCATTACACTGGTGTAAATATACTCTGACATTGAACTCCATTCAGGGCAGCAATACAGATATTTCAGTTAGGAAGATGAAGGAGAAAAGGAATAATGTGCTGTGCTAGGGGAAAAAAAAGCACAGTAACAAACCACTCCACCTTAACAGGGCAGCCAAGAACAACAGAAAGGGTTTGGGACACCGTTTCCGTCACACACCCAAGTACAGAGCATGAAGGTGACTGGGGCGTACACAATCATGTTAAGGAATACATGTAAACCACCACAAAAAGATTTAACGTGTATCCTTTAAAGCATCCAGCTGTTGAAGACATTAAAGCCTTAGCCTTGCACATATGTGCACTTAGATCCATAAAATGTGACAATGGTTTTAAAGTACCAATTCAAATGCTCTCCCTGTCTACCTAGCTTGAAGATGGGCAGAAAGTTCTCATTATACAGTACAGGCATTTTCTTAGAGGATACAGCTGAAAAATCAAGGAATTCCTCAAGGAATAAATGCAATTTGAACCCTACTTCCAATGCTCAAATACATTTATTTGAAATTATTTTGCTACTTTACAAGGTGCAAACTTATACAGTAGTAAATCTGAAATTATATTTTTTTAGTTCATATTTGGCAAGTAGTCCTATGTGACTGTATGGGGGGGGGGAGCACAAAGCACACATCTGTGCACGTTTCAAAAAAAATACGAAAAGTTTTCAGCCTTTCCTCTTCCAGTGACTGTTCCTTGCAATATCACTGATGTATCAGAAAGACTCTTTTCTTGATGTACTTTACAGTTATTTATAAAAAAAAAAAACAAAACAAAAAAAACACCAACAAAAAACCCCAAGAAAACACAAAGATCGGTGCATCATAACAGTAATAAACCTATACCAGGTCATTCGGGACACAAACTTGCAGTTTGGCCTTGATGGTTACTGTCATACAGCCATCTATAGGCAGACCATCCAAGATTATTAAACAAACAAGAAGTTAGAAAAAAAACCCTACATTTTTTGCTTGCTCCGTATTTTTACAGTTAGAACTGTACTTGAAATAAATATGAATCTTGTCTGTACCACTTGCAATATGGATGCAGTCTAACATAACTAATGGCACAAACTTGAGCCATAAGCAAATTAGGTTGGTTCTTTACAACACTGGAATAATCTGAGTATCCTGATAATCTTTCATTTGAAGAGAGCTGGATGCAGACTACTAAGATGAAGGAATATGTCATGTCTCACCATTCCTGTCCAAATGCTCATTAATATTTACCAGCTAATAGGCTGCATTTCTACAAATCAGGCTACACAACATAGTAACTTCCCATTGCTGAACAAGCCACAAACTCCTTATTAACGAGAGCGAGCTCTAACTCATTCGTGAACCATTTGTTAATGAACAAGTTAACAGTAGGTCAAAGAGTAAAACAAGCATTAGAAATTCACCCTAAACCTTTGAATACAGTCTTTCGATTGGTATATGAAAGCACATAAGAAGAGCAAACTCTCATATTTGATTCTCTTTTATTTCAAAGTCCTTTTCAAGTATTCTGTTAGAGCAAAATGGACCTTCCAATGGGGGGTTGCTGGTGTCAGTGTAACAGAGGGGCTTAAGGGAAGTGAAAAAATCAGTTTTCTGAAATATGTCTTTAAAAAACTACACAAACGGAAAACTATTTGGTTTAAATCTTGGGTTTTTTTTTTCAGTTCTGGGTAAATCCAGTTCAGGGTAAGCTATAACTAAAATTGTCCCTATTCAACTTCAACAGAATTTCAAACTGTTCAGGTTGAAGGGGGGAAAAATACCAGTGGCTCAAACCACTACTTGGTTTGTGTCTGGTACAAAGACTCTGACAGCAATCTTTATTTCCCAGTCCAGACATGTATCTATTAAAGTAACATTAAAGCAGTCTGGCATTATCTTATAATAAGTTGTATTCAAGACTTCGTAAAAAACAAGCAGTAGATCCCTTCAGAATAAAAAAAAAACCACAACTAAATCTTGTTAGGAGGTGGTAAAAAAGGTACACTCTATCATTACAAAGTTCAACTGAGAGCTGGGGAGTTGTAAACTTTTTAATAGACCCACTACAAGAAAACAAGCATTGCCGATTTCACTGCTAAACAGATTCAATCCTGACACCCACCTATTTAAGTTCAAGGGCAAAATAATTTTCAACTACCCAAAGCGAAAATTTTTTTATGTGGTAATACAGAATTCATTTGCTTGCTTAGGATCTTAAATCTATATACTCATTTTTAGATTTTTAAAATGTAAATATTTTAAAATAAGAGCTCCCAGTTGCATTAAATACATGCATTTAATTGCAATAGCTCTCAAACTAACCAAGGAAAAAACAATTTTTTAAAACTTAAAAGCACATTCAATCTTCTGTTAGCAAAACCAACTAAAATTATGCATACAAGTATTTGGCTAGTTTACAATATCAACATAATAAAAAATACATGCCAGAAATCATTCCATTAATTGTTAGAACAAGAAAAAAATGAATTCAAACTGCTAAGACAAGCCAAGGAAACCATAAACAGCTATCTACATGTTTACTGTCAAATGCTATGGGAAACAATTCAAAAAGCTGGGCAGAACCACCGTTACCTATGTTACTCATAACAAATGCAGTTGCTCAGGAGAGGTGATACTTCTATTTCCATTACTTAAGCTCTTGCTTTCAGCTGCCTATAGCTTTGTCAAATTTTCTCTGAACTCTACCACGCAACATTCCGTTCTCCTATCCCCTTGCCATCAGAGACTTTAGTACAAGTACTAGAGTTGTTTCTGGGCAGAACCACCGTTACCTATGTTACTCATAACAAATGCAGTTGCTCAGGAGAGGTGATACTTCTATTTCCATTACTTAAGCTCTTGCTTTCAGCTGCCTATAGCTTTGTCAAATTTTCTCTGAACTCTACCACGCAACATTCCGTTCTCCTATCCCCTTGCCATCAGAGACTTTAGTACAAGTACTAGAGTTGTTTTAAGAATGAGATTAAAATGAAGGGGGAATACCATATTTAGTGGGAACCTATTACTGCTTTGCTGAATTTCAGAAGCAATAGAGAAAAAGGAGCAGGCAAATCCACCCAGATCTTGATGTCAGATGCCCACGATTGTGGTTTTAAGCATTATGTGGAAGTCTTTAGCTCTTAAGGGAAAAATTGCCATTTCTGCATCTTTAGAAATATTTCTGAGACAACCACGGATATGCATCAGAGTTCTCCTCCAAACGGGGGGATCTTCAGCAATCTCGTTTATCATCTCCGTAGTTTAGATAATTCTCCATTAAGTTTTTACAAGCACGCTAGCAAACTTCCAAGGTACACAGATTTTATTTTTTTTTTGTGATCACCCCAAAAATTAACTTGAAATCTTACAGTCCAGGACTTTTATTTTGCTAAGAATTGTCTTATTTGCCATCAACAGGATTCTTTACTTTGGTATTTTGTAACCTCACCCAATTTACTAAATATTAAAAAAAAAAAAAAGGGGGGGGGGGGGGGGGGGAAAAAATCATTTTACCATTTTATATGCTAAAACACATTACCGCAGCTTTCTACCTGGGAAGCTCTGTTGTCCAATGGTTTGGAAGAAAAAGCCAAACATTTGTCTGGGGGTCCTTTATGCTGGAAATGTGCCCCTCTATTCCCTTGGAAAAACCTTTACATTTGGTGAAGCTTTAGCAAAAATTTCAGTTTGCACGTGTTCAAGAAAGATGTTTGGAACTGGCAGCTACATTTGCTAGTAATTCTGTCTCTACTGGGCTTTACAGTTTCATCAGAACTGCCCCAGAGAATTTCTCTTTCTAGAACCTGCTGGAATTACTGTGGCACAAAGAAACTGAGTGCACCAGATACCGCTGGTATTGAACAAACTCTTAACACCCACCACAGAGGCAGTAAGTAGCCAGACAGAGAAGCTGGAACCAGGACTTACAGGTGAGGGACAGGAGAAAGAAAGGGATAAAACAGAAGCCAAATGATGGAGAGACAGAGCAGACAAGGAGCTGAAAGGTAACTGAGCAAGAGCTCAAGTAACGGAAGACAGACAAAAATTGGCTGGATAATGCACGCAGAATGACACCGGGACTACCAACCCAGGGAACTAGAAAAGGCAAGAAAACTGGTTTGAGAAGCTGGAGAAAGGAAAACAGAGGAAGCAAAACTGGACAAGACAAGAGCAGGTTTTAGGGTGAACAACCACTGCAAAATTTGGAGAGAAACAATTCCTTTCCACACACTCCATTTTTTCCATTACTGTGTTCTATCAGAAATGAACCATGAAACCCATCGGTCACATGTGTCTTATCTTTCTCTTGTGGTCAGTCCATCATGAGGATGGCAACCCAGCACAATGGATCACCGTTATCAAATGGCAGAGACTTGCTTACATGCTGAAGGTTTTGCTATCACTGACAGTCATGGCCCCATGGTAAAGAAAAGCTGCTTGTTGCAGAACTTGATAGGGAACTGCCAAAAGATGAAGGATGGTCTCTCAGTAAAAGCAAGGGAGCATTATCCTGGAAATACAGATGCTACTCCTGCCCCCACTACAATTCCTTTGTGCTGGTAGGTAATGTTTAAGCCAAAACTTTTCAGACACAAAACTCCTTCTGCACTCATTTCTGGGCACTTAATCTGTGATTCTGAGTGCTTCCTCACAGCTGCAGATGAAGTCACCCAGGCAAATGAAGGCCCATGTACTAATAAATCAGCTATGATGGGTTTCATAACAGGTACTCAATGAGATGGGAATAGACAACCCTCTTTGGATTGACTTTGGCCCAGGTCCTCATCTTTAAAAATGAGGTTATTGCCACGACTGAAATGCAAGATTATTCCGTATTTGTCAAATCTGATTTTAAAATTCAAGTAATTAAACTTACATTGCTCCTTTTCACAACTATTATTCCTATCAATGGGTGTCCAGAAGAGGACTATATATTGCCAGTAATGTAATCTCCTCAGACAACCTATACATTTCTTCTCATTTCTGAATGTCTTATTAAACAGGGAGCCAGGAGAGAAGATGCCAAAAGCCCAGAGTATCGGGGAAAAGTCCCACCCCAAGAAAACATGCTGCAAGATTCATTTCTTAAAAGGAAAGGTGTAGCTCTTGAACAGAGGCTGCACCCTTCCTGACAGGGGCCTGAGGCCAACTGCACGCTAGTTATTCGGTACTGGACAGAGCTAGAGTTACATGAACTCCGGAGAGGATGGAGTTTATTGGGGCAAAAACTGAAATACTGTCATTTCAGCTGAGCTGGAGATCGTTTTACTGTATCTACTTTCCCATAACGCAAACCCACTTTACTTTTGGTGGGTTCTTTCTAGTTGCAGTTGTAGTCTACAGCAAAATACATACGATTAAAGAGGATTTCAAGTAATCATACCATTACTGTATCAACACATAGACTCCTTTTTCCTGTGTGAAAGTGGTGTCCTCTTTATCTCCACCCTTAAATTTCAATGAAACTTCTAAACAAGAATATGCTAACACATCGACTTACACTTTGCCTCTTTCAGGGGAGCAGTGTTAAAGAACAGAAAGCTACCTAAGGTAACTCCGAACAAAAAATTAGTAAGCAACAACAAACTGGTTCCCCAGCACTCGCTCTGACCGCTCCTTCAACAGCCAACACTGTGTCGTAGGAAGGGAGGAAATCCAACAGGAGTAAAACAACAACCACTCTTGAAACAACTCTCATGTTGGGAGTTAAAACCTGTTTCAAAAGCAACAGAAGGGAGGGAAAGGGTGCAGCTTCCTGGACTCGAGATAGGGATTAAAAAATGTCGTGGGCATATCAAAACTTGAAAGGCTCCACTGTGCAAAACTTCTCACCTCTTTTAGTTGATCAGCACTTCCCCATGATGCTGAGCGCTGATGGGATCTCTTTTCTGCTCCTTCTTCAGCCCAACAGCTAGGTGTCTAGAGGGAGGGAAAAAAAATAAATATATATACTGTACTGAATTCTCCAGGTAAGAAAAACTCTTGGCACAAATTATTGCTTTACTCTTTCTGCAGTGTCAGAGTTCAGGCAGTATACACGAAGAATTTCAGAATCTGATATGCAGCAGTAATAGTCTCAACACATAAAAAAACCAATATAGAAAACTGAGGCTTTGTAAACTTGCATTTACAAAGGATGAGGACAATGCACATTACTGAAGAAGGAATCAGAGGCCTGACAACCATAAAAACCCCTCACCTGGCTAGTCCCGTCTGTGCTTTGGCATCCATTTCTACCTTTCACTCACCGGACAGTTTAAAAAACCACAAGATTAAAAAAAAAAAATATATACAAACTCAGAGACCAAAAGCCAGGATTCATTTCTCCCGTCTGTCTTCCTTAATCACTGGGCCACACAATCAATTCCTTCTTGCTAACTCTGACTTGATACAGAGTTTGATACCTCTTATTTTTGGCCTCGACCTACATGAGCAGAACAGTGAAGAGCAGGCCTTTTCCAGCCCTGTCTGCAATCCCAAAAGTTTGGGGACCATCCTTGGTTGTAGGAGCTATAAAATTGAATTCCAAAGATTGAGAAAGGTCTGGAAGCCAGATCTCCCATCTCCTGCGCTGATTCGCCACAAGACTATTACAAAGATTGAGGGTATCCACCAGCATTTCTCAACAAGAGAGTCACCAGCTGCCAGACGAACAATAGGGACATCTAAAATCCAGGGAGAGTTTGAGGTATGAACCACATAAAACTCAGGGCTATTGGCACATACATAAATTTGTGAAAAGGAAAAAAAGTGTTTTTTTCCAATAAATCCTACTAGTATTAGCTAAATCTTTCACAATAGGCCGCAAGAAATAAAACTATACCACTGAAAACAATGAGAATTTGACAGTGAAGTTTTTCAGATGACCACTGCTAACACTTCTCCAAGGGAGACAGGACCCCAGCCCAGTGGGACAGGTAGGATCTGGGATGCACCACCTTGTGGGATTTCCTTCTCGTGCATGGAAACCCTGTTCTTCCACAGCTTTCCTTACTCTTGCTTCCTCTCTTGGGTCTGTAAACTTCTGTAGTACCCACACACGTAGCAGACACTGTTCTGCTCAGGAAGGAGGCTGGGCATCACCACAAAAACGTCTACCATTCCTCACCTTCACTGCCCTGGGGAGGGAGGTGGAAGCAGCCCTCCCGGGGCCAGGCCACTCATGCCACGAGTTCAGCCTAGAAAAAAGGAGGCTTAGAGAGGATCTCATCACCATGTACCAGTACCTGAGGGGTAGCTACAAGGAAGATGGAGACTGACTTTTTACAAGGAGTCACATGGAGAGGACAAGGGGGAATGGACACAAATTGCACTTGGGGAGATTCCGATTGGACATGAGAGGGAAATTTTTCACAATGAGAACAGTCAACCATTGGAATAATCTCCCCATGGAACCAGCTGACTCCGACACATTGGGCACTTTTAAGACGCAGCTGGACAGGGTGCTGGGCCATCTTGTCTAGACTATGCTCTTGCCTAGAAAGGTTGGACCAGATGATCCTTGAGGTCCCTTCCAACCTAAGTTTCTATGATTCTATGTCTGCGACTTTATAATCACTGCGCTGCCACAGTATTACACAGCCTACAGCCTGGCACCTAACTCGTAAGTGCTAATATTTAATGAGCTAAGTCACTTTGTGTGCACAGGCCTACATATCCCACTTGTGTTTTCTGCCAGCCCTTCACTTTCCATGGGTTTGGTGGGGTTTTTATTCTGTTATTTTTACGTCACCAGGAATACTTCCACCAAAGGCCCAGCAAGCTGTGTGGGCGATTAGAAAGCAAAATGGAAAAAATTGGTAATGAAGCTTTTGCTGCATGTTCCCAGGAAATTAAAAACTGGTCTTTATAGAAGTTAGGGTTCTGTGTGCATATTATATGACTCTCTTTGTGTAGGTCTGGGGAAGAAGCCAGAAGACAATGTGGTTATGGAAAAAAAATAATTTAACAAAAGCAAAGAGTTAAAACAGCTATTTAAAACTATGCGGGAAACATGGGACTCCCCAAGCCAGGCGACCCATGACTCTCGTCACCCAAAGCAGAGCCTCTGCCACATGTGTGCTACCTACACTTGCACTTGCTCACTCTGCATTTTAGCAGAGCCATGTTCTAAGTAATTACTTGTTCTTGCAGATTGGGTACTTACCACCTCCCTGAAATTTGTGTGAAAGACACTGCATTGCTTTTAATTTTTTTTTTAAACACTGAAGTAGCTTGCAGATTTCTAAAGAATTAGAGAAAATGGGCAGAAAAATTGCTCCTTTTTCAAAATCATGGGCTTTCCACAATCTATTACAATTTACTTTCCAATTTAAGCTACTTTTTTCTTAGAGTAATTTACTATATCCCAAGTACAGCTAGAACCATACCCTCATACAAAATTAGAAAAATATCAATGCAAAGGGAATTCTTTGAAAATTTATCCTCCAAAGAGTGTATTCTGAATACAACACTGCTCCATAGTTTGGGGAACAGCTCCAGGATGAAGTAGAAACAGGCATTTCAGGTACTTAAATATTTTCTTGTAGTGAAGGAGAGCGTACCAAGGATCACTACAAGCTCACAGCCTTTCAACTATAAATTAATAAACAGAACAGAAAAGACACTGAGTATCTAAAAAGTCAAAGTGAGTTTCTCAAAAAAGATAAGTAAACTGTTAAAAAACAAAACAAAAAAACATTATGTAGAAAGCAAGAACTTGTCTGTAATTTTTAATAAGCACAGATATTGATCCAGATAGCAAGAATAAAAACAAATGGCAACACCCTGAAGAACTTCATCAGCAACACATATGACTGTTAGCAGAGAGAGGCGGGAATCCTTATATTGCAGTTGATTTAATGAGAAATCAAAAATAACAAACACAAAACATCCATTCAACTTGATACTAAATTCTGTACTTTCTCAAATATGCTTTTGACACTCTCTTCCACTCTCTTCCACTATCTCCCTTGAGACAAGGATTACACAGTTGTTTTCAGTCTTTGGCAAATTGAGTCAAGTCACAGCTTTTCAAAATATACATACACGTACCAGTATACAGGGGGCAGACTATTTGTGTCCCTCAATTTTATTCGCAGTGTTAGATTATGAATACTATATGATGTTCCTAGCACAGTACTGAAGTCAGGCAATGTTATATTAATTAGCTATTTATATTCAGATGGGAAAAAAAGGTTAAAAAATAACACAACATAAGCAGTTATTAAAATATTATAGCAAGCCAGTCTTCTTCAAACCCTAGAAATTGCTGCTTATAATATATTGCAACTCACATTACATGAAGATAAGTTTTGGGGTTGTAAGCCAAAATTATTGTATTCAAGCAAAAGCTTTTTTTAAAAAAAAAAACAAACCACCAAACCTTAAGAACCCCACACTCATTCCATTCAAGCAGAAATTCTGGTTTTGTAAGTTTATCTCGGGTAGAGCACCTCGTACTTCACCTGAATGTTGCAATTTACATCACAAATAAGATGGGGGTTCATAGCCCCCTTGATATGCCAATTGTTTTCTCATCTTTATTTGCAACTGCCACAAAACAGGTGTATTCATGGAAGCCTTTATTTGAAGCTGGAAGTGTACTTCCCATGTGTTAAACACATTAAAAAAAAATAACAAAAGCAAAAAAAGTAACTCAAAATTGTATTTGAAGAAAAATTTCTGAATCACAATAAATGAAACCAAAGTTGCTGCACCTCAAGTCAGAAACACAGTAAGAGAGGTCATAGGCACTATCTGTGAAACTGATACTATTTCAGAGCTGAAACAAATTTACAGCATCACTTAAGTAAGAACTGAACCTCGTGAAACTGAAGGACTGCTCCTGTAAGTCTACATTCAGAAACTAAGATTTAAAACATTTTAGGAGGAGAACCTTGAAAACACTAAGTAACATATGCTGGAGCTTCAAGAGAAGGACTGCTGATATTTCAAAACGTGAAGGTTTGTGGTCCCAGCTTCAGTTGACACAATGCTTAAAGCATGCACATTGGATAGGACATGCTGAGAACACCACATCTGGTTGCTCTCTTCAGTCTTAATGTAAATCACAATTATCATTGTTCTAACTCACCCAAGCTTGTAGAGATTAGCATTTCTTCCAACGCATTTGGTAATTCTGCCTTGCTTTTCCACCCATGTCAGGGATATACACCTACATTCTTTCCACTTCATTTAGATCAGAATGACTGCATGGAATACCAACCTACCTAAACCTAAAAGACAACTGAATTACTCTAAATATCTCACTTTTTATTGCCAGCCCTTCGCTCTAATTACTATATCTAGCCTGCATTCCAGATTAACTACACTGGGGGATGGGCGCAAAGATTACGAACACAAGTCTACGTTTTGCAGGGGAAGCAATAATGTTTTTGAACATTCAAAAGAAACACAACAGCAGCACTAGAAGATCATCTGATGAGTCTTCAGATGTTTCTAAAACATTCAAAGGCCCTCTAGAAATTTTACAGAAAGAAACAGCATAAAGAGTTAGAAGTTAATTTGACTATAGGTGACGACTCCTCTTAAACATCAGGCAGGTTAAGAAAAATTAGAATGATGAATTCACAGTTGTAGGACACATATCTCTTCTTCCTTGTCCCCTCCCTCCAAAGTACATCATTAAAATATCACATGAAAGCACTGATAACTAAAATACCCTAATAAAAAAAGCTTCATGTAATTGAGCCTCCCTGTTTATGATGCTAATTTTTAAGCTACAAAATTTCTACCCAAAAGAAAACAAAACATTACTCAGGTGACCAATGAGAGGTAACTACATTAAAGCCTTGACCCATACACAAGAAGAACAAAACCATATTTTAGCCAAGCTTTCTATTTTAATAAATCTTTGTTATTCTTTAGATTAGAGACAAGTAAAAATTCTGAAAGGCATTTTGCAAACTTTCTTAATTTCCATTTGAGTAATACATAATTACCATATATGATAAAAAAGGCATATCCAGGCATACTGTTTGCAGGAAACCACTGAATCATATTCCACTTATTTATTCTTTTCTTTGTATTATTTAGATTGAGAAAGATTATATAGATGAACTTTAACTGGCAATGTCTTTGTTATGACATCAACATCATATGTTTATCCCTAATCTCTCCTTCTTTTTACTTTCATAAAAATCTTTTAAATTATTTAGCTACTGCCAAATAATTATATTAATAAACTGTGACGATTATTCAAATGATTCTGAAGATTCTGAGGTTAGGCATAACCATTTCAACATTGAATTATTCCTTACACTAGGAAGGGGAAAACACTTACATGTATAGCATGAAGGAGAAGTATACAAAATTGCTCCATCAGTGCTCCCAACAGAGAAAGAAAAAATGGGGAAGGAAGCTATACTGAGTTTTAAAAGGCATTAATGAAAAGTTCAAATTTTACTGAAAAGGAGAGGGAGGTAGGACAGTGGAAGAACTTGGGAAGGGGATCACAAAGTACACCAACACCTGTAATAACTTCCTGTGACAGTAGGTTTCCCTGCGTTTCTGAAACACTTAAAACACTACTAAACAAAATGGCATACCTCTGCGTATCCAAAACGTGCTGCTTCTTAAAAGTCAACTAGTTGTATGCATGTGCACACCTACACACACGACCATAAATGCATGGAGAATTCTTAGAAATCTGGAATTGTGTAAATGTCACAATGCGTAATGTCATAGCGTATTCTTCCAAAAGCAAACATAACAACCCCACTTCTCTTCCCTGTTTTCAGTCAAAACACTTGAGGTGGGTTAAGAGAGACACAGAAATACAAACTATAGTTACTACTCTCCAAGATGCAACAGAAGCCAAACCAACCAACCAAAACTGCTTCTCGTATTTAAATAATAAGATATTATTGAATTATTTTTTTAAAATCCCGTTTTAATTTTAGAGAAAGAAGAAATATTTTATTCATTAGCACTATACAAGTACAAAGAATTTAAGTGGGAAACAAGAAGTTGGAATAAAACTCATTAAAGGTTCACCTTATCATGGCGAAGACCAGAATCTGACACTTTTTTTTCTTTTTCTTTTTTTTTTTTAAATGCAAGAATTCTAAGAAACTTGGAACAGCCATAATCACCACCTTCATGAAACTGCATAAAATTTGGATTTTAAATGAATGTTTAATTAGGGACAAAAAGTACCCTTGAAAGAGAAACAATTATTCCACCTACAATATAAGTTATACTGACAGTATTGTTCATAGTTTATAAGTCAAACAAGTGATAATTTATTCTCCAATGAAACATGCTCATAAAAAAAAATTCGTTTATTGATTTTCATTATCTTGTTTTTATTTATTTTGTTTGTTACCATCTTCCACTCTGCTAAACTACCAAGCGTTATTATTTTGAGCTACTCTAAACTCTCTGAACTCCCATGAGCTAAACTGTTACTTAGCCAACAGACATGAAGTAGTGGAAGTACTTGTGCTGGTACTCCGACAAAGAGCAAGATTTTAATTTAATTTAACTTAATTTGCCATGCATGCATCCTGTCAACGACTTGGAACTCATCCTTAGTTCTTGAAATTAGATATACTTCAAACTACACAGAGCTCAAACAACAAAAAACCTCACTCAACCAAAACATAAGCCAATGTTTTATGATCGAGTTCATCTACAAGCCTCCCTAGTGAACATTTTATTTAAAAAATACTGGAATTCGCTGTGCCAATCACTACGCTTGCTACATTTTACATATTCATATAGTCCTGAGTAGTGAAGACACATTTTTTCAACTCAGCTTAAACACTGCTAAATGCTTGATTTTTGCATAAAGTGGATAAAAAGACAGCTAATATAATTCCTTGTTAGAAGATATCCACACAAATCCAATTCATGAAACTTCCCTGCCCTTATCTCTTTGAAATAATACTTCATCTTGTAACGACGAGAGTACTGCCTTTCCTCTCTGTTACTTTTGGTTATGCTGAAAAGGTAAAACTTCATTTTTATTTTTTTTTTTTCCCCTCCCTGAGCTTTGTTTCTGAATGAGGCAAAGGGTGGCAGCCAACAGGTCAAATAACCTAAACAGTTACTTGAGCTCACTCGGAAAGCAATTTTACTGCCAAATGCTTGGAGCTCAAATATTTATAGAAGAAGGTTGTTTCTCTTTTCTGTAACTAGTGAAAAGGTTTGTTTGTGAATGTTTAAATACTCTAAATTTTCTATTCATATGGGTATTTGCGAAGTTTGATATGTATACATGTTTTATGAGACAGAGGTTAAGAAATACAGTAACTACAAAGCATGCTAACAAAAATCTCCTGAATGAAAATTATGGTTTCAAAACAGGAAGACTTTCAAGACACCGTGTTGTGAAAGGAAGGGACCTTGGAAGAAAATCCAGGATTAAGAGCTTGTTAGGTAGATTTTTCACGACACTAAATATGACTGCTTGTTCTTCTTTTTTGCTAAAACTGGATGGCTGGTTTCAAAATGAGTGAGTAGGACATGAAGACAGCATTTTCTTAAAGGGTCCCACCACAGTTTCTAAAAGTTTCCTTAACAATTTTAGTCATCAGATTCCCAAATTCATTAAATAGGGTTTCTGGATCATACAGACAGATATTTTTTCTTTTCTAAGCATTCTATGCTTACGCTTCCCCCATCAGAGGACTTCCTGCATTGCATTACACTAGATTTTACAGACATGGAAAATTATTTATACATTCTAACCTGTCCTGAGAAATTCAGTATTACACAAAAGACTAAAACGTAGAATCAGTTTAAAGAGCTGCTGTGTTTGCTCTAAGCAATGGTGGCAGAATGGGTGTCAAGTATGTTGCAAGTCAGTGGAAATTAACCCAAACCTATACACCTAACAAATGAAGTTGCGACAGAAAAATCCTTGATATTTTAAAGGTATCGTATGTACTGTGACAACATAAGCTTCCATTAAAAAAAAATTCTTAATGGCACAAGAGAGTTAAAAGCAAAAGGTAGAATGACAGAAGTATTATTTTTCTTTGCAGGACACCCATGATAACAATGGGCCAGAATCATGGCACAGGAGACAGAAAACTGATTTAACAACCATCGTCCCTACATGGCCTGTAGATTGAAAATATAACCAAAGATAGATAGTTTTTTCTAGTTTCCAATTTAGTTTCGAACACAAACTCAGGAGACTTATTCCATACCCTAATAACACTACTGAAAAACCAAGAATGCAACTCCTTTGCTAATAATTTGGGTTTTCTTAGAATTACGTATTTTTCACCTGTTTGTGGGTCATCTCTGTGGGCAACAAGCTCCAGCACGAGGAGGAATCCGGCAAGAAACAATGTTCAGCTTTCTACCCAAAGAGCACTGGAGCACTATGAATGCGTAGCAGCCTACCTGCCAGAGGTTCTGGCTCAGGACAGAGCCCTGAGGAGGATCCAAGAGTATCAGCCCATAAATAATCTCAGTAGCTTCCCCTTTGTAGCTGGTGGTAAGGCTCTCATTCTGATGTCTGGCTTCAAGAGGTAACTCTTCCACAGAGCATTTTTGTTTGCCCGTCTTGCTACTAAGCAGCAGAGGGAACATCTCAAGACCACGTTACATGCTCACCCCCAGCTTCCTCTTCTTGATTTCCCTTCTACAGACCAACTGATCAATTCTTCTTAACAGTAACCTCTCTCCTCCTACTGCGCCTCCTCCCGCCCCCAACACACTTTTTGAGACCCACAGCACAGATTTATTACGACGATTTAGTAAAATCTTTAGTTTGTCAGCAACTACTATTATGGAATCTTTTTTTTTTTCTTAAATAACACTCAGCACAATTTTGCATACAGCAGCTTCAAAATAAACCAGATACAAGGCTGAGATTGAAATATCCTTATTTAGCCTCAAAAGATCTGCCCACATACAGAATATTATTTTTAATAACTGTTTTCTAAAATCATAAAAATATTATCTGTCACCTACTATGTTACCGAATTGACACTGATTAAAAAACACCAGTGTACCCTATTTTTAGGGCTTTACATTTATAGTAAAATGAAGTGAACTCACATTTCTTCAGAATTAAGTTGAGCTAAGACTCCAGATCAGATGATAAAAGTATTACCAGGAAGACAACCATCATACAAAACATCTCTGTTGTTTTGTTTTACAGCTTTTTACCTGAGTAGATTTATCTTTCATACATGAAGGGTAGTGTACGTGGGGATCACGCGGCCACTGTCCTGTGAGGTAAGGTCCTGTTATTGTGTCCAAAGAAGAAGTTCGCCTTATGGTACCAGAAGTTCTGATTTGCTGGGATTTTGGCCTGTCCACTGTAGAAAACCAGAACAAAACCAACAAAAAAGTCAGGCTAAATTTGATATTAAACATTAAAAGCTAGCTATGACACACAATGTCAAGAACACATCGGAGACCTTTGTCTAAATGCCAAGCTGAAAAGAGTGCCATCACATCAAAGCAAATAACATCAGACAAAGGAGAAAAAATACAAAGGGAAAACTTAACAGTTACAAAAAACAACAACTCTTGAAGTGTTCATATCTGCAAAGAACCAGGCTACCTATGCAATACATTTTCATCAACAAAAAACATCGAGCAAATTTAAATACAGTGATGATGCAACTCAGGAAAGCCAGACATATAGAAATAGAAAATATAATATAGAATCAGTATTGGGTTACTGATTTTGGTTTTTTTTAAGTCAGCTTGCTTAGCTTTCTATACACTAAAACACCAATCGTGACAAAAATTGCGATTCTTAAGAAGATGCATATCCAATTTCTTGCTCTCATGTACATCATTCCGTATTATTTACAAGATCCCAATGCAGGCCTTAGCAAGCTGAAACGGTGTGACTGTATTTCCCTCTGACACAACTCAGGTCAAGGCAGCTACCATGTTTGTCTTCACTCAGCACAGCCCTGCAATCTTTGACTCCGCCCTGTACTTCTCTCCCCGTACACCTAGATCATGGAACGCTTTCTTCCTGCATTTCATTTGGAAAGCGGGGAGTGGGGTGATTCATGAGATTGTTCTTTCCCACATCAGAGTTTTACAGCATGCTCTCCGGATCATCTCGCTTTGTCCTTTAGGCAAAATTACTTCATATACTCATTTTCCCAACTTTACACAAGCCAACCTAAGCCCTACATTACAGCTACTGTCTATCTTGCCAACCCTACTAAAAGAAGTTTGCAGGTGAGATAATTTTCAAGCATCACGTGCTATGCACTGATCCCACCCACCAAAACCCTACTCACTCCTCCAAACTTGAGAGCAGACCTGCTAGCACACTTCAGAGAACAAACACGGGCACTGACCTCCACATGCGTTTTCTCTTTGTATATCATCTAGAATTGCTGGATTGCAAATGGCAGGCTCCATCATCTGTGTTTTACATAGCATTCAGCATGATGATTAAGGTACAGCTTGCGCTAATACAGCTTGTTTATAGTATGATATATGAACATGATAATGTTTAAGCAGACCATTTTAGAGAAACCTAGAGCTGCTGAAACACTTCATTAACAACTAATTGTAGGTCAAGAGTTCTAAATAATGCTGTGAATTGGAAGCACGATAGTATATCATACTACCTTTGTATAATATAATAATTTTGATTGCAATGTTGTCTATAAACCAAATCCCTACAATTTTAAACAGATCTGCCCTCAAATTCCAATCATGATAAAATTTGCATTTTAAGAAAGATTTTTGAACTATTAAAAAGTAAGAAAGCCTGAAAACCAAAATAAAGGTGACAAATTTTAAACACGAAACAAGTATCTACATTTGTCCTGAAACACAAAAGTACCTAAAGCGTGCACAGCTACAGAGCATTCTTCCAACCTTCACTGCCATGCTATGGCACTACACTACTTGCCCAGGTAGCCTGCATTTTGAAAATTCCTCCAAAAGCTCCGCTCATTAGAAATACATCACATGCTTAGGGACATGGTTTAGTGGTTTATGGTTGGACGTGATGATCTTAAAGGTCTTTTCCAACCTAGACGATTCTATGATTCTATGTGAAAAATCTATCAGGAATTTGTTAAATACCTAAGTAGTTAAGTAAGTTCTAAAAAAACCTTTTAAAACAAGTTGAAGACTATGCAGAGAAAAACTGGCAAGACTATGTCTGAAGATGGGGAAATAAAGGACTAAGCAAAGTTTACCTTTGGAAACTTCACATTTAAAAAGTCTTGCTGTGGAAAAAAACCAAAACAAACAACAAAAACCAAAAACCACCACACAAGAAAACACACGTCCAAAAGACACAAATAAAATATATAAACCAGATAATGATCTAAGGTCTGTGTCTTGTTCTACACCCAGAGGAGAGGCAACAGCAATCCTGGCATTAATAATTCACATAACTGCACTACAACAGCAGCGGGCACAAACACCTGCAGAAGTTCCTACATTTATATTTTTCTGTGGTAAGCTTGGAAGCAGACTGCAGAACACTGTCAAACCCTGGAAGAAAGTTCAAGATGCAGTCTCCTAACTCCCTACTACCCCTTCACTGTTGTTTTGAATCACAGGAAACAAACCAAGGATACCACTTCCCAATGCATAAACCAATCCAAGCTAGCACTAATGCAATGCCAACCCTATTCCATTGCTGTCTGTGCTCTTTCCATCGACTTAGAGATGGCATACACAGATGTATTAACTCATCTAGTAGGGTAAGTCACTGAGTTAAATATAAAGAAAACTAAAACCTACCTTAAAAGAACTCATAAACACATGTTTTTCCTCATTATAGACAGGTTAGCTGTGCTGGTATTGTTTGGGATAAAGTTAATATTCTTCATAGTAGCTGGTTTTGGATTTGTGCTGAGAACAGTGCTGATAACTCAGGGATGTTTTCATTACTGCTGAGCAGGGCTCACACAGAGCCAAGGCCTCTTCTGCTCCTCGCCCCACCCCACCAGCGCGGAGGCTGGGGGGGCACAAGGAGCTGGGAGGGGGGAACAGCCGGGACAGCTGACCCCAACTGACCCAAGGGATGTCCCACACCATATGACATCACGCTCAGCAGATACAGCTGGGGAAAAAGGAAGGAAGGGGGGGACATTCAGAGTGATGGATATTTGTCTTCCCAAGTAACCATTACGCGTGATGGAGCCCTGCTGTCCTGGGGATGGCTGAGCACCTGCCTGCCCGTGGGAAGCAGGGAATGAATTCCTTGCTTTGCTTGTGTGTATGGCTTTCGCTTTACCTGTTAAACTGTCCTTATCTCAACCCACGAGTTTTCTCAATTTTACTCTTATCCCACCATGGGGGAGCGAGCAAGTGACTGCACAGGGCTTAGTTGCCAGCTGGGGTTAAACCACGACACTGGCAGAAGATAAGGGGCAGAGACAACCACCAGAGAGCAAGGAGGAACAACAGGGCTACAGCAGCACTGAGGTCTGTTCAGTAACAGTTTGGGCTCTGACCCTTTTATGATATATATCCTTAGACCATAAAAAAAAAAAATCAAGGAGAAAGGATCTGCAAGCATGAAACCTGAAGGAACTTCTACAAACTAGCATTTGACAAACTGTCTTTTACAGCAATGAACTTAACAATGACTGGATGCCACGGAGAGCACAGTTGAACTGGACCACAACAGCGGCGACTCAGACCAGCTTAAACTGTTTTCTAAATATTAAAACTGCTCTCAGGATTTACTTCTTAATTTTGCTTTTCTCACCTCACTATAAGCCGGGCTTCTTGCTACTCTCAGAGCTACTACAGAACTTTCACCTCTCCCCAGACTTACTTTCATTACCAATGGGATTTTGATGCTCCCATCATGCATATCCTTCTCTGGTCCCAGTCGCTTTGTCCAGATAGAAACCTCATGCTCTGGTTTTCTCACAGAAGCAAAAAAAAGCACAGCATGTGCCATCCGATATCTGAAGCACATCAACAGCTCCTGAAGTTTGCCAACAGGCTTCAGCATTCAGAAAGGCTTCATCAATATTCAGAAATTTCTAAAATTACAGAATGATTTTACCCAAGTTTCAGACTATACCATATCTGACATTATTTGAGTGTATGAGTAGACTTTACTGCAGTGGTAAGTCAGAACAATTCTGTTCTCTTTCTCAGTGATGTGTGACATCTCACAAGGAGCTCAGCTCTACCTCCGGAACAAGTAACCTTTGGAATGTAGTACTTAAGAAGTATGACGTTACCTGAGAAAGTCAGCTAGAAATCACAAAAGCATGCTCATAGGAAAGCAAAATACCGCATGTGTTATTTAAAATACACCACAAGTTTTAATGGTATGTATTTAGGGGCTATTGCTACACATTTCTAGTTATAAATGATTTTACGTAAAATGGCACAAGGGTCCACCTGAATACTACAGCTGGTGAAATTTGGCATGATCCTACCTCCCAGCAGGACTCAACTAAAATAAACCGCATGAAATTGTGAAATTACGGTTCTGCATGCTGCATTGAGAGCCAAAAGAATTCTAGTTATACCACCTAGACTGACTGAAAAAAGGTTTCCATTTCTCTGCCAGCAAAATGTAATTTAGTAAGAGACTAACACATGACAGCTCTTTTGAAAAGGACATAGGGCTCAAATAAAACCATCTGCTACAGCTCTAAAATGAAGAGATTGCCTTCCCATCCAACACGGAGGCAGCTAACCTGCGCATAATTTCAAAACCATGTTCGCAGTCCGTTTTAGCTTAAATAATGCTTTCTGCCACGTGTGCAATGAGGAAAATCACCTGCAGCAGAAGAGCAAGATTGACAGCTAGCATTGGTACCATTATAAAAACTTCTTCAGCTAAATCCACCAGAGCTCATCTGTCAGCATCTTTTCTTTCCATCTCTCTTTCAGCAGTTCGCAGATGCAGTTCAAATTTGGCCAAAACTTTTCCACTCACATCTTTGCATGGATATATCTCCCTTAAAAAGACTAAAATTACCCTAAGAACTGCTCAGATGACACAGATTCCTCTCATGTTGAGTGAAAAACATGAAATAAACATAAGATTCATTCTTCCCTAAAACTAGGAGTATTCAAATTGTCATCTCATTATCGATTTCAGCTGTGACACTCTCCTGCCAAAAGGCTAGACACCATTCTTGCAGTAATATCTTGATTTTTTCTTGATTTAAGTTCATTTAGAACTTAAACTATTTACCCAAGACAGCCAAGTCATGACACCATGAAATATCAGTACTAAATTCTACAATAAATTTTCATGAGATGTTGTTTCTCTTCAGTTCAGTTGCTAACACTCTGCAGAACCTTCTGGTTCACCTTCAGAGCTACTAAAGAAATAAGTCCCAAGCT